AACAAAATAAACTATGAAAACACCACCAATATACACAAATAATAATTGATAACGGAAGCCATTGGTATATACCAACGGCTTCCCATACTTAACACTTCTCGTTTTCACTCTCGCGTGATCATGCGTGGCGTCATGAGCCTCGATGCGATTTTCGATTCCAGCGTCTCCATTTGGACAAGGTTGTCGTTGGTTGGAAATCTTCCATGCAAACAAAAACAGACTATCATCATTGCCATGTCCGTGTATTGTTTAATATATTGTAATGTAATTGCCATCTTTGATAATGGCTTGTGTAAGCCGAAAGCTTAGATAGGATTATAAAACATGGATCAATATGGTGATTTTCTTTCGTCTTTCAATGATAATGTTATTAAGCTTATCAGACGATATGAAAAGAATTTGCATAAAATAAACAGACAAAACTTGTCTATATTATTTAATGAAACATGCATCAGTATATATATATATATATATATATATATATATATATGTGTGTGTGTGTGTGTGCGCGCGCGCGCGTGTGTGTGTGTGTGTAGGCTTAGCCACATAAATTAAGGGTAAAAGGGTTAGCAACATAATTTTGATAACCTACGTTATACAGCATTTTTAATTGTGGCCAGTGTGGAAAACAATATGCCTCACTTGGTGGAATAAAAGATTATATGAATATTTAGCAAAATATCTAACACTTAACTGCCAGCGGAGCTCAATGTTGGCTTGAACGGAGGCTATTTCACAGCATGACTCAAGTTCTTGCGTTAATATTCTGGTTGACAGCACCTTGCAGCTTATTGCCATATCCCGTCGTAACGCCGTTTCCAATACGACAAAGTCGTGCCTGGTTAGAATCTAGAGTGGTGACCGCTTGGTAATATCAAACGGGATAGCGGAACTGAATTGTAAATAGGAGAACCGTTTTCCAATTACAATCGGTTTCGTTATATTCATTTACGCGTAAATAATCTTGGGAAAGATATATATTCACCTATTCTCACAGTGCAAATTAATTGAACCAACCTCTTTAGTTTACTTTCTTTCAACATACGGTCAGTTTTAGACCCGATGGAGTAACAGGGTGTAATCGATTTCTATTTTTACCTTAGATTATGTCATCTGCAGTGGTGAGCAGTAATATGAATCTATTTTCCCCGTGTTTCATGAAATTTGTTTGGCCTACAATAATATTGCGTCATTCGGGAATGCTTCAGATTTTCACCAGTCCCAGACACTATTGTTTCGACTGTCGATTAGTTGTTCTACGGCCATTGTCTGCGATGGAATTTACTCTAAGGAAGCTTACAAAATTTGTAACGTTGCACGAACACACTGGCAAGCCTTACCAGTGAGCAAATCAAAGTACTACTGACTGGTTTGGAAACTCTTCCTATTTAAATCCAATCGAGAATCTGTGGTCAATCTGCAAGGAAAGAGTTCGGGGAATGGACATACGAAGTACTAATATGTGCACTGGACCATCTTTCATTGGAAACATACGAAAATAAAGTAAATAATAACGGAATTACTCGTTTTGTTTCAATTAATTTACAAAAGGTTTTAGGTTAATAAGTGAGACTTGTATCAGGAAATCATTACAATCTCCCCAAAATTCTTACAATCGAAAAAAAAAAATGTTATGGCTTCAAGTAACCTGCAAATGGTTGATAAGCTGTGAAAATCTAATCAATAAAAAAGCATCTTGCAATGTTGGACAAACTTTTCCCATGTAAAGCCTCCCATGTGCTTACTTTCTACATCATCTCTAATAAATTGGTTACAACTGATCCGTAAGCGAATTCAAATGTCTACCTCATTTCATAAATTTGTTGTTTCACATCAGCCATTCATAATTGTCATGCGTAAAACTCTTTGAATTTCCAGGGCATTTCTTCTTGTTTATTCAGTTATTGATCGTACCTTAGATGCTTATTCGCTTCATGTCAACGTGACATCGTTGAAACTAAATGCTTATATAAGAGAAAAAAAAGAAGTTCCATATCTTTAAGCGATATTTTCTATTTCATCATAGAGCCAAAGGTGATTCATTAAACCAGGAATTGAACAAAGTTATTTGTTTGTTTGCTGTATCCAATGTGCTAACGAGGCGAATGTAGATACGTACGATCTTATTCTGTAATTGATGCGTGAGTCAAAAGAAAAAAATGTATTTAGCAGCGATTGTAATTACAAAATATATTGAATTCATTTCACTTTCTAAGTCTTAAGAAATCTTTTAAATATAAAAAAAACAGGTTGCATTATTAAGCGTTTTCTTTAGTTTAAAAGGAAATTAATCCCAAAAAATATATTCGTTATTTTTATTTTATTTTGTTTAGATCAAGACTTCTGGATAATTTAGTTCTTAAGACATATGTACCCGTAGGGTTAAACTATATCACTATATATATATATATATATATATATATATATATATATATATATATATATATATATATATATATATATTTTTTTTTCCGATTTAACCAGTAGAGAAGAGAATATTTATGAATAAAATTGACAAAAGAAAACTAGCAGTTGACGCGTTTCGTCCAATGTGGACGAAACGCGTCAGCAAATACTAGTTTTCCTATTGTCATTTTATTCATATATATATATATATATATATATATATATATATATATATATTTATGTATATATATATATATATATATATATATATATATATATATATATATATATATATAATTATATTTATTTATTTGTAATTAAATTAAAAAAAACATTAGTTCCATTTCATCCTTAAGCGAATTTTGGAGTAACTTATTTTTAAATTTATTGAGTTTTAAAGGCACAGGAAAATTCATAATTCACTGTTTTCAAGGATACAGAGAGGTCCAATCATTCAGACAAGGGGTGGTAACGTGTTCATTTTGATTTACTTTTTGTTGTATCAGTTATTAGTTACATTCGAAAAAGGGGTTATGTTTAGGTAGGGTAGGGACGTATTTTTCAACGAATTTTGAAATCCGTTAAATGCATGTCGTCTGGGTTTTTTTTTTAAATTATTGTTAACGGCAAAAATATTCTTTCGACATTTATTCTATTTGTATACTTAAAGATTTTTGTGGGATGTTTAGGTTAGAATACGTTTTATTTAACTACAATTTTAAAATATTTTCACTTCATTTTTAATAGACCATATTTCTTTTAAAACAAGTAAATGTACTAGAATTAATTACAGTATAGAAAATTGTTATTACTGTGTAGCGAAAAAAACATATTTTAAATCAGCCAATATATATATATATATATATATATATATATATATATATATATATATATATATATATATGATGTACTGTGATGATAAGTAGGTATAATTCCGAGGAGGATATAAATACAAAGAGAGCTCAATGTAAGAACAGAGTAAAATAATAATGAATAGAGAATACTTAAAAATCCAAGCCAGTTTATGAATTTACTTCGTGGACTTCATGCGCATCTCTTCGAAGCAATTTTTCATTAATAAATGGAGTTCAAAATTATTTAGACACAAAGAAAAGAAAAAAATAAAAAAAATTATAAAATGAATAAATCAACTCTAATTGAATGAATTCATCCTCAAATCAAATTTCTCAGACCCGAAGAATCTGCTAGCTACACTTAATCTCATATATCATAATTGATTCATCTTGTTTCAGTTTAATGTGCAGAAATTTCGCTGGTTCCACTATGACAAGTGTCTTTTTGCGTGGTAAACTTTTAATAATTTTGAAATTTCAACGAAATTCAAATTCTCCAATTGTTTGGTGTACGCCATAACAGAAATTTTAGCTTCACAACCTTCTGATGCTAGAAAGAGGTCAGTTATTTCATTTTCTCTGCCTCTTGCTTTGTTGTCTTTCACGTTTTTCACCCAAGCCTTGACTGCAAAACACCGGATCCAATTTGCGACAAATCCTGGCTCATCTAAGCAAACATTCTATTAGCGATACCATATGTTTTTATTGTATTATTCTACGGCACGTAACAGTACTCAACTTCCGCCTGACTCTTTCTTTACTACACACTTTTTTTACCCTCTACTTAACATATTCAAATAGGTACAATCCTATTTACCAAACCACTCCGCTTCTATTTCAGATCTAATGTCTGAATTTCAGGAGTAGGGAGTTATTATTTAATCGCGGTCTGTTGTCCTTATCTCTGTTGTCTAGGGAGAGTTCTTATTTCTAGACATGCTCAGTTATATCCCTTGACACAGGCAGTGAAACGAGAAAAATCTACACCCATGGGTTAAATAAAGGGTCCAGTTCAGAATTCCCTGTAGGTTACACGGATCGATATACACGTGATAAAGGCCTGCGTGCGCAAAGGCTTAAACGTTGTGTAAACAGAAACAAAGATGAGGACAAGTCTGCATGTAATATATATATATATATATATATATATATATATATATATATATATATATATATATATATATATATATATATATATATATATATATATATATATATATATATATATATATATATATATATATATATATTTATATATATATATATATATATATATATATATATATATATATATATATATATATAATAGTATGAAGAAAAATACGGAAAAAACAAACAAAAATCTTAATATGCAATTATGCTCTTTAATATTAATGTTTTGATCAGGCTTACTCTTATGTCCATCGTCTTTTCATATTCAATTGAATATAGTCTAATGTTAATTATGTTTTATGAATATGTCCTGAAGATGGTCTATTGGACCGAAACGTCCGACGTTGACATTATATTAACATTAAAATAGCATAATTGCATATTAGGATTTTTGTTTGTTTTTCCGTATATTTTTATATATATATATATATATATATATATATATATATATATGGGAAATACATTTTCCACATTTTCCTTCAAATTAGTTTGGTATATAATACACTCAGTGTTTTATGCTAAGAATACGAGTTTAGACGTGGTATTAGAATGGTAGTCGTTATCCATTACAGTACTCTCACATCCACGCTTACAGCATCTACTATTCTCAAGCGATCACCCAACTAGGTACTAACTAGGATCGACGTTGCTTAACTTCGATGATCGTATGAGAACCGCCGTTTCAATGAGATATGACCATAAGACCATGGAGAAAATTGTTAACCGATTTCCCCATTACCTTCTCTCCGGTTTGAAATTCCGAATTTTGCATCTCTTAGATTAGTTGGCTCATAACTGGTTTGGATGAGTAGAGACGGATTCCTGTCTTTTTCAACGGCATCAGTGCGAAAGTGAATGCAACAGACTATCATGAAACCTGGGTTCGAATCTCATTAGCATTGAAGAGAGTTCCTGAATATATTGGACACACTGACAGCCCCAGTATTAACACGAACCTTCTGAGTGAAACTGGATAAAAATAAACTATTTGAAGGCCGCTGATTATTGTCCTAGAACAAAGTCAGGTGTCATAACATAACCAAAAGTTGTTGATATGTATGTTGGAGATAAGAAATCCTGCATATTTCTACAACTGGTCTGGACTAGCCTCTCGCCTAGTCTCAGTAGTCTCCCGTGGCTATTTCTCGCCTATCCAAGTGGGATCAATTTAACAAGCGCTTCACCAATTTTCATTTACTCTAGTAATTAATTAATCACACGAAGATAGATAGATAGACAGATAGATAGATAGATAGATAGAGAGAGAGAGAGAGAGAGAGAGAGAGAGAGAGAGAGAGAGAGAGTAGGGAGACACCCAGAGAATATGAAATCGCGTTAGCGAAATAATCTGACAGGCGTTTATGACCGCAAAGAGAATATGGCCCTTACATGTGTAGTTTTGTGCCAGACTATACCATGTTAGCTAATTATCTATATAAAATTAGCAGATGTAAAATGTTTAATATGTTTAACGTATCAGCAAAGCAACAAATAAAATAATCATTATTGTTAATCAAAAAGTTGGTCATAAAATTTTTCATGTTCTGCTCGACAGTTTTCTACAAGGAAGCTTAATATTTCGTATCAACATTTATTTTCAATTAACAATAATTCTCGCGTTAAAGATATGTATCTAGATAAATGTGCTCTGTCTCATCTTGTCAAACAATGCCTTTCCACTAACAAAAGATCGCCAATGTCTCCCAGACAGTAATTTCAGTATAAAGCTATTAAACCCATTTTAATTTTGACAGAATCAATCATCATAATTATATGTAATATATCATGGTATACGGGATAATTCTTGACAAGGAACACATTCCACAAACTGACAAAATGACAAAACATTAGGTTTCTTCTGGAGTGCTTTCTTGATTGAGCCTAGACTCTTTTAGTATCGCCTTGTATTTATTTTAGATGGCTACCTAGAAAGGAAAAGGATTATATTTTGGATAGCCTCAGAGAAGGGTCTTTAATATTCCACTTTTGGTGAATGTCTGTTGCGTTTTAATGTCGACTGGCTTTAGATATTCAAATCGCATTGATATAATAAACTGCATTAACGATGTGCATTCTGGTCCAGCCTCCACATCATGTACATACTGTCTGTCAGTTATGTGCCATTCGGGAAACACGCTTAGGCGATCATGTATCTTAGGTTGTTTTTTTTTCTTTTACGGCCTGTCAACCTCAACGGGTCATTTAATGCCGACAACTTTTTTTTCCTGGTAATATTTTTGTTTTGTCAAAAATCTATTTCTGTTAATATTTTTGTCTTCAAAAATGTATAGCTGGTAATATTATTTTTCCAAAACGCCTATCTGATAATATTATTTTTCCAAATACTTATAGCTGGTAATATTATTTTTTCAAAAATGTTCAGCTGGTAATATTATTTTTTTCAAAAACGTATAGCCAGCAACCATATTTAAAAAACAAAAGAAAAAAAAAACTTATATCTTGCAATATTATTTTTTCAAAAACTTACAGCTGGCAACATTATTCTTTCAAAAACGTATTATCAAATGCCTTGCTGTTGGACGTTGTATATCGTCTTACCCAGGACGTGGATGTAGTTTATCGTCATAACAAGGACTCGGATGTAGTCTGGGTGTTAACTATTTGCTCATAGCTGGGACCCAAACAAGTGCTACCATCCCGGGTCAGGGTGGACCTGGGAACACCAGTAATTAAGAGGTGGTTCCACGCCCCTCAAAACCTCCTGATCAGAGGCCTTGCTGTTGGACGTAGTTTATCGTCTTACCCTGGACGCAGATGCAGTTTATCGTCATACCCAGGACGGCATGTATCTTAACATACATGACTGATGAAGCAGATTTTTCCTGCTATAGGTTGCCATTTCTATCCTGCTATTTACCCATAGCTGGGGAGAGAAGAAGATGCATACCTTTCTCAAGTGACCGTAAGTGAATGTAATGGTTTCGACTGGAATTCGAACTCGGCTCACCGAGTCCTCCATTCGAACCGCTATTGTACCAGATGCAAGACTAACAAATTGTTAATTACATATCTTATTACGTGGTTAGTATCACATTTCTGAAAGCTATTCGCTACGTTGTGAATAAGAAAGAATCCCTGCAGTAAACACTTGTAAAAGGAATGTGATACTTTAAAAACCGGCGTTATTTTACCACTGCTCGGCTGTGTGTGTGTGGTTTGCTGAAAATGACATAGAGACAACTCACTGTCAATATGTATTTTATAGTGGCAAATATTTTCCGAATATTAGCTTTATGTGAGTAAATACAGAGGAGTATGTCTATAAGTTAGTACCATTCAGCAGAAAGAAGAACAGATGTAGGGAGAAAAATGATATTAGATAAAACTAGTTTTCACCTCATAGTGCGGTTTTAAAATAAACAGAAATAAAACAAAAACAAATATTTTAATTAATAATTTAATCCTCCTTAAAAAAAAGACGATATGGATAGAAAAAATGAACTTGAAGAATCCCAGAAAATGCATTTCCACTAATAGAAGATCGCCAAAGAGTCCCAAACAGTATAAAGCCATTAAACCCATTTTAATTTTGACAGAATCAATCATCATAATTATATGTAATATATCATGGTATACGGGGTAATTCTTGACAAGGAACACATTCCACAAACTGACAAAATGCCAAAACATTAGGTTTCTTCTGGAGTGCTTTCTTGATTGAGCCTAGACTATTTTAGTATCGCTGTAGTATAGCTATATGTGTTATCCTTTCTGTTGAATGGTACTAACTATTCTGTTGATTAAACCAAGAAACTAGAATATAGAATTCAACGATGCCTGGCTATAGATTTTATCGAACTATTGTTCTTATCTTTATTTTTATTATCACAACGTTTCAACCTTTATGCCTTCCAGACTTCAATTATTTGACGATCCGGATAAACTTCAAGGAATTTCCAACTGAACCTCTTCATGGGTAGATTGTTCTCGTTTCACTGTACATGTTAATGAACCCTACGGGTTTTGATTTAGTAAGGCTCTCTTATCGATTTCCCTGTTTTCACTAGATCTGCCAGCCCAAGGATTGAATTCTTAATTACTATCGCACCAAATACATGAAATTCATTCAAATAGTACACCCTTATGCAAATTAATTGAAACAAAAATAATAATTCCGTTATTATTTCCACGAAGTCGTTCCTTGCAGATTGACCACAGATTCTCGACTGATTTAAATAAAGAGAATTTCCGAGCCAGTTGATAATACTTTGATTTGCTCACTGGTAAGGCTTGCCAGTGTCTTCGTGCAGCTTTACAAATTTTGTAAGCATCCTTGGAGTAAAATACATCGCAGCAAATTGCCGTAGGACAACTAATTGACAGTGGAGACAATAGTATCTAGGCGTGATAAAAATCTGATGTAATCACGGCTGACGCAATGTTTTTCAGAGCCAAACAAATTTCATCATACACCCCGAAAATAGATAAATATTACTTCACACCGCTTCAAATGACCTAATTTGAGGAAAAAAATAGAAATCGATTACACCCTGTAACTCCAGAGGGTATAAAACTGCTCGTATGGTGAAAGAAAGGAAACTAAAGCGGTTGTTTCAATTAATTTGCACAAAGGTGTTTAGCTGCTGAGAAAATAGGTGGATACATAACTTTTCGAAGATTATTTACGCATAAGTAAATATAACAAACCCGACTGTAATTGGAAAACGGTTCTCCTATATATATATATATATATATATATATATATATATATATATATATATATATATATATATAATTCCGATCCACTATCCTTTGAAAATACAATTTGCTATTTTCCAATGAAATATGACCCAGGGCACATGTTAGTACTTCGTATGAACATTCTACGAAGTTGTTCCTTGCAGATTGACCACAGATTCTCGATTGGATTTAAATCATGAGAGTTTGCGGGCCAGTCTAGTAATTTTGATTTGCTCACTGGTATGGCTTGGCATTGTATTCGTGCAGCGTTATAATTTTAGTACACTTCCTTGGAGTAACGTCCGTCGCAGACAATAGTAGTAGGACAACTAATCGGCAGTCGAGACAATAGTGTCTGAGCGTGATGAAAATCTGAAGCAATCACGGATGACGCAATATTTTTCTAGGCCAAAGAAATTTCATCATACACACCGAAAATAGATTCATATTACTGGAAATGACCTAATCTAAAACAAAAATAGAGATTGCACCCTGTCATTCTAGTGGATTTAAAACTGACCGTATGGTGAAAGAAAGGAAGCTAAATCGTTTTTTCAATTCATCTGCATGTGTAATTTAAAGAAAATTCACATTGTCATTATGTCTAAAACATAAAGAGTATAATTAATGAATAACATCAATTATGACGTACGGGCGTGAATAATGAATATTAACAAATTCGCCATAAACAGAATTAGAATTAAGTTGTGGTTAACGTGCTCAGTGCTTATTTTTTATATCGATAATAGTCTCCTGATTAGTTGAAAAATATCATATAATGAAATTTAATGTTTTCAATCTCTGGTAAAGAGAAACTGCCATTGGTTTTCTTAATGTTTTTCTATGTGACTTCTTTATTCATAAACGAGGCTTTAATAATAATAGCTATAACACTAATTTTAAGATATTACATTTTCTGCAATTCAAACTTGATATCTTTATATATACTTCCGTTGTCATATTTAAAAATATATATTTGATATGCCATATCTATGAGGAT